CAGGGGAATTTACTTTGTAGTCATACTTGGTATGCACCTTGAGCATGCCAAGATCCTGAAGAAACTTTGTTGCTATACATCTGCTACAGTAACACACCAGCCATTTACACTGTGTTCTCCAAACTATAGACATTAATGAAAGAACCAGACTCACCAACTGTAATCCAGTCGAGACTGGTGAAGCTGCTCCTGTTTTAGAAGAAGCTTTGTCTCCTGCTGAGCCAGCAGATGCTGAAGGCGCTCCTTTTCAATTTCCAGCTCCATTTTCTGAAGCATCAGTTGTTGCCTTCTATCTTCTGAGAGTTGCTTTTTGAAATTAGTTACACTGGGCTGAAGTGCCCTTCCGCCATGCAACAGAGATGCCCAAGAGAGCCCACAATAACTGCATGACCCTGGATCCGTCTTGGAATATTGAGGGGCTATGTCTGTAGGATGGCTCATAAGAACATGATCTGCATTTTCAGAAAGACTATGACCACAACAGTGAATAGACAGAGTAGGCTTGAGGTGTGGACATTCCTTCATCTTCAATTCTTCTGGTGGAACTTTCTCTGTTGGGACTGCATGCACTGGTCTTCTCCCTGGAGATTCATAATTACATGTTCTGGTCTCTGAGGGCACCCTGTCTAGACCTTCTTTAGGATGATGAAATGTTATTGGTTTCGAAGAATTATTCCTAAACTCCATAAGGGATTCTGAAGCTGAGTCCTGCTTTGCAGACTTAGGTCTTTGCTTGGTTTGACTGATTTGTGGTTTGGCTACACTCAAGTAGGAACCATCTAGTTCCATAAATGAAGACTGGATAGTGCTTTTCCTACTGGATACCTAAAAAGAACCACAAGATAACCTGTCAAATAAGAACACGATAAAACAAATTCTTTCTTTTGGCTTTTCAGAAATCAATGATACATGTTTACCAAAACAAAGCTGTTTTATATTCTTAAATATTAAATGATAGCATTCACACAACTAAACAGACATGTGCCACAGAGCTACATCCATTTTCAAACAACCTACATTTCAGTTAATTCATATAAGGATGAGAAAAGTAAAGTGTTGCCACGTACTGCTTAAGCAAGATCTTGGGTGACTTCAGGAGCTGCAAATAAAGAGGGTTACATAAAATCAACTTTGAGAAAACACAAAAGCACTAAATGTTGATGTCTTAAAATGTTTACTTTTGAATACTGAGCCAAGAAATCCACTCAGCCACCTTAAATACCATTTGATTGGCCATTACACAGCATGAGATTTGATGTAAAACATTTCACCTTATACTGAATAGGATGTTACTTACTGCTAAAAATTTGATGAGTTTTGATAAATATCTTAAAACCAACCACTTTCAACAAAATATGATTTTAATCAAAAGCAGTTATTTAAATACAAAACATATATTTAATTTCAGCTACAAACATAAGTGATTTTTCAATTAAGCTGTTCAAGTGATTACAATGTGATAGAACTCAGGCAGAAAGGAAGAAGTCGCAAATTACCCCTGACAGGCCAACAGAGTAAGCTTTTCCAACATTTTAGCTTTAAGCTAGTTCTATCAGGAAGAGCAAAACTTAGTCTATATCAATTATTCTCAAACTTTAGCATATATCAGAATCACCTGGAGGGCTTGTTAAACAGGAAACTCTGACTTGTCCCCAGAGTTTCCAACTCCATCTGAAGAAGAATCAGAGAATTTGCATTTCTAACAAGTTGTCAGGTGATGCTGATGTTGCTGATCTGGGATCACACTTTGAAAACCACTGGTCTATATCATAGAACATCTCCATCACCCTCACTGTTGACTTTGGCCTTGGAAGTCTGTTATACTTAACCCAGTTCTGATCATCGTTGATTTAGTACAACAAAAAAGCAGCTTTTCTTCACATTTCAGAAACATGGTATATCTAAACTCCAGGATGTTGTACTAGAAATATTCTAGTTGAATGCAAATGTTGAGTGTCACAGGTGAGCAACTTGCTCATAAAGGTGGATGGACATTCATGATTACCAAAATAATAATGAAGGAAATTAATGTGGAAGAAAGAATGTTAATTGAATTAACTGGACTGATGG